GTGGAAAGGGCTGTCAGGCACTCGAAGGAGCTGCCCAGGGAGGTGGTGGAGTCACCATCCTTGAGGGGTTCAAGGAGCAACTGGATGTGGCACTCTGTGCTCTGCTCTAGTTGACAGATGGTGATGGGTCACAGGTTGGGCTTGGAGGTCTTTTCCAGCCTCAGTGATTCTGGGATTCCAGGGAGAAGCAGCTGCCTGGAAGGGCTGAAACCTTCTGCTGAAGGTTTCCTGCTGCACGAACCAGAAAGCACAGAAATGGCCTTGGAATCAAAGCACTGAGAGGCTCCAGACCTTGTCCCAAGTCTCTCTGCAGCTTCTCTGGAGCCCCTTCAGCCCCTGGCAGGTGCTCTGAGGTCTCCACACAACCTTCTCTTCTCCAGGCTGAACAGCCCCAACTCTCTCAGCCTGTCATGATATGACATGGATAAGAACATGTATGTATAACATGTATGATTAAGAACATGAACTCTCCTGTGAGTGCTCCTCATTCCAACAAGGAATATCAGAGGAGCCCAGGGAAGAAGTACACTGAGATCCCACAATAAATGCCAGGCCCTGTTAGCTGAGTAAATTGTGTGCTTAGCTGAGCCTGGGAGGAATCTTTGCAGAGTAAACACTGCCAGGGCCGTGTGAGAGAGCAAACGGGTGGGGAAGGCACAAAGATGTGGAGAAGGACTGCAGAGGAATGAGATGGAGTGGCTGGAGAAGGGAAAAGGAGCCCCTCCTACCATAAAAATCCCTGTCCTCTCCTCCCCCACCTAACAGGCCTCATCATGAGATGAGCTCAAACCCTCGTCCAAGGTGTGTTTCTTTCCAACCAGAGGCCAGAGCAGCTCGCAAAGCTCATTCTCACTCCTTAGGTTTAAATCTTCAAGTCCTCTCTGGAGAACTTCCATCACAGGAGTAATGATGGCATCGAGGAATTAAAGGTCATGGACTCATGGGATGGTTTGGGTTGGAAGGCCTTAGAGATGATCCAGTTCCATCCCATGCCATGGGCAGGGTCACCTTCCACTAGGACACCTTCCATACAACCTGGGCTAGTGGTAGGTGTCCCTGCCCATGGCAGGGGGTGGAATGGGATCAGCTTGAAGGTCCCTTCCTACCCAAACCATCCCATGATGCTGGAGCCTCTGCCCTGGAGCCAGGCTGGGAGAACTGGGGGTGTCCAGCCTAGAGAAGAGGGAGACCTCAGAGGTCCTTCTGGTGCCTAAAGGGGCTCCAGCTGCAGAGGGACCTGGGACAAGGCCTGGAGGGACAGGGCACAGGGAATGGCTTCCCAGTGGAAAAGGGGAGATTTGGTTTGGGTATTGGGAAGGAATTGTGCTGAGCCACTGGAATGGATTTCCCAGAGCAGCTGTGGCTGCTCCATCCCTGGGAGTGTTCCAGGCCAGGTTGGATATGGTCTGGAGCAATCTGGACTGGAGGAAGGTGTCCTTGCCCATGGCAGGGGGTGGCACTGGATGATGTTCCAGGTCCTTTCCAACCCAAGCCTCTCTGGGATCCCCCAAAGTGACACTTCTGCCCAGCTGTGCCATTGCTGCTACCTCTGTGGCAGCCCTAGCAAGGACAGATCCTCCTCCTCCTCACCAAGCTCTGTTTGCACTTGTGATTAACCTTTCCAACAGGCCCAAGTGGCTGCAGCAGCTGTTTACTTTGTGCTTAAGAGCTTTCACCTTCCAACCCAGAAACTTGGGAGCAAAGCCCTTGGAAAACATCAAGTGTCAAAACACAGAGCTGAGGAACAAACACTGGCCACACAACCCTTGCCAGCAGTGATAGAAAATGAGTAGTTTGAGGTAATTCAGCAATTCCCTTTGCTTTTTAAACCAATTTCTACAGCTAAATATTTTCCTTGGAAAGTTGCAAGTATCACTTCCTAGTGTCTCCCTCTCAGTTTTCCCCAGGAACACTTCTAGTGTGACTTATACTGGTGACAGGATTGAATCTAAGTCAAAGATGTAATGGATTAATTATTATACTTCATTTAAATGCCAGAAATTAGCCTGAAGTCCTTTCCTTATTCCCACTACCTAGCCCTATCCCAGTCCTCCCGCGGGGGAGCAGCAGAAGGCAGGAGGACGGGAAGCAGCAGGAAATCTCCTGCCCAGCTCAGGGATATCCCCAGGAAAGGAGTTATTCCCTGGCCCAAGGTGATGCCCGTGTTGCTGCAGGCAGAGGGAGAGGGATCCAACTCCATCCCGATGGTTATCCCACACCATCTAGTGGCATTGAGCAGAGCTGCTTCCCTCAGATCCAGCATCACGCAGGTGTGTGACTCATGGAATGACTTCCACGTGGGAAAATTCCTCCCTTTCTCCCCATTTACTGTGTTCAGGTGAGACCTTGCCTGCAGTGCTGCCTCCAGCTCTGGGCTCCAGCAGCACAAGGATATGGAGCTGCTGGAGAATCCAGGAGGCTATGTAGATACTCCAAGGGCTGGAGCTTCTCTATCATGGAGAGCTGGGGGTGTCCAGCCTGGAGAAGAAAAGCTCCAGAGAGACCTTAGAGCTCCTTCCGGTGCCTAAAGGGGCTCCAAGAGAGCTGGAGATAAGATATAAGACTCGGGACAAGGCATGGAGGAACAGGACAAGGGGCAATGGCTCAAAACTAAAAACAAAATAAAACAAACAAACAAAAAAAAGAGATCTGAGTGGGATATTAGATGGGAATTCCTCCCTGTGAGGGTGCTGAGGCACTGGAATGGATTTCCCAGAGCAGCTGTGGCTGCTCCATCCCTGGGAGTGAGTGTTCCAGGCCAGGTTGGATGGGGCTTGGAGCCACCTGGGCTGGTGGGAGGTGTCCCTGCCCATGGCAGACGGTGGGAATGGATGATCTTCCAGATCCCTTCCCACACAAACCATTCCAGGATCCTGTGATCCTCAAACTCCTTGGTAAGCTAAGCTTTACCCTATGCTGAACAGCTTCAAACAAGCCAAGCACTCAAACCCAATCCAACTGTCCTTGAAATCAGTTTGAACATCTGAAGATTAAAGTTGTCCAAACTATATGTTGGAATCCAGGCAGATTCCATGATTTATCATCCCAAAAAGGACACTGCTTCCCACCTTTTGCACAAGCCCTAGATACCAAGGACAAGGATTATAACAGCAATAGAATAAAAGGATTTATTATAACACCTTTACAAGAACACACAGACAAAGTGTTGCCCATATCCGTGGGGGTGAGTTCCCTTTTCCCTCAGATCCACAGCTGGCAAACATTTCATTCCTTGCACATGTCAAGTCCTCACTACTCATATTGTTGTCACTATGAGGGTTGAAATGTTTTGCCAAGCTGATTTACATTAAATACTCAGAAGTTGGGTTTTTTTCCAGCAGAAATCCATATATTCCCAAGCTGTTGCTAGTAACAATGAAATGGGAAATGGCCTAGAAACACACTTAAAGTGCTTTACTGCAGCTAAAGAAGTAGCAGCATTTGGGCCTCATCAAACCAGAGGCCCTGAAGGGAGGGAGAGTGACCACAAGTGATGGATTTGGGATTATAAAGGGAAAAAGGCTGGAAAAATTTGCATTAGGGCACTATATAAGGATACAGGTCCAACCATATACAAATCTGCCACCTTGGCACACTAATCTATAAGAACAGAGGTCCATCCATACACAAATCTGCCTTGGGGCACTAGTTTTTAAGAATACAAATCCATCCATACAAGATAGAAGTTGTTCTTCAGAATTCCAGAGGCACCACTGGCAGAGCCCCCCTAAATCTATGGGTAACAGCCACATCCAGAGCTTCTTTGGGATCAGAAGTGTCACCCACTGAGGCACTGTTGAGGAAAACATAAGCCTGGAGGGTTCCCAAAGCAGTTTCTCTCAAGGGTAACCCTGGCAGCAGAGAATTCCTGAGGGTGGGAAAGCCCAGGAGGGTTCCAGGCAGTAGGACATGGAGTTCATGGCTTTCTTCTCCTAAAAAAGGAAAGAAAAAAGCCATTAAACAGGTTATGTTTCAGCCAGAACTAGTTGTGAGAGCAGCCAACACCTTGCTGACCTTCACACCTGAGCCTCACACTCCTCCTGGGCTAAGAAATGCCACACTGAACCCCCAAAAGCTCAAGAAACATTTGGATTTGGCTTCCCTTTTTTTAGCCAATGTGAGCTTAAACTCCAGTTTCATATAAACTCTCTACTGAGTCCTGCTAAACACAGACTCCAAGGCAAAGCTGAGGGTTTACTACAGGGTTACAGGGAGTAGGAAGGCTGCAAAGAGCAGGTCTTGGGCAGGAGGTGACTCCCAGCACTACCTGCAAGGGGTCACAGCTGAAGACCAAAGCTGTTCTGCAACATCTGGGGGCAAAATCATCTGATCTGGAGTTTTGCTTTGGTCAGGAAAGGGCTTTGGGAGGTGTGGGGCTCAAATGTTGGGAAGAGCCTAAGGAATTGTGGGATTAGTAGGGGTTTTGGGTGGAAATTGTGATATTTATGTTTGGCTTCCACTAAATCTCCAGGGATGTCTTACTGGATAATGGAAAAGAGGGAAGTTTGCTCCAGCATGGTCAGAGCTTCCTTAGGTGGTGCCTCCACCATCACACAGCTGGGAAACAGCTGGAATTTAATCCATGGTTAGGATAACACTAGGTATGGTCACGTCATTCCCTTCTCTCTAGGCCACAGTGAGATTTAGCCTTGTTACATTGAAATTCAGCATTCAAGTTCAATTAATTGCTATTATGCTAATTGAAATTTGGCTTGAAATTTTTGACCTGAAACTTGACCTGGATTTGACCTGAAATTCGACACTCTCCTTGTTAAAGTTTAACTTCTCTAAGAATAAAATGAATAATCTCATCCACTTCAGCACCTGCTAAAGGTTGAAGGACAGGAGAGGGAACACGGTGCACTCTCACTACCAATCCTAACCCTATTCCACTCAGGACCCCAAGCCTGAAGTGGGAAGGGAAGGAAAGGCAAAGTGGAGGGGAAAAAAACACCCCAACCCTGATTTTAGAAGTGATAAGACACCCCAAGGACACTTACTTGGGCTGGGCATGGTGCTGGTAGCCAGGTCCAAGGGCTGATCCTGCTCTCATCTCCACTGCCACTGAGCACTGGGAACACACAGGGAGTCACTGTCTGCTGTTCCCCAACATTCCCAGCTCAGCATTAGCCCAAATTCTCATCCAAATGGTGCCCAGAGCAGCTGCAGCTGCTCCATCGCTGGGAGTGTTCCAGGCCAGGTTGGATGGGGCTTGGAGCAACCTGGGCTGGTGGAAGGTGTCCCTGCCCATGGCAGGGGTTAGAAATGGATATCACTGAAGGTCCCTTCCCACCCAAACGATTCCAGGATTCCATGCCCAATCATGAGGTGTTCCCTTTCCCTTTTAGCTTACCCTGGTTTCCACATCAGTCCATTCGGAGTCAGCTCCATCCCTAGGAGGGTCAGGGTGGGAAGGTGAGGAGCGTCGCTTCCGTCTGGGAGAGGAAGAGTTGGGAGGAGAGGAGTGTCGCTTCCGTCTGGGAGAGGAAGAGTTGGGAGGAGAGGACAAACCTCATGTCATTTAGAAGATCCTCAGACACAAGAGATAACATCTTACACTTCCTAACTAAATCTTTACCCTCAGCAGCAAATCCGCCTTAAAAGCACCTACAGCATCTAGAACATTCTCCAAGTATTTGATATAGTTTCAAGTTGGAGGCAACAACTTCCCATTGGATCATTTGGATCAAACACAGTTCCTCATGCTCCATTGGAGCTCCAGAACCCCAAATTAAAGGCTCAGCTCACCCAGTTGGAGATTCCTGCTTCAGGGTCTCGATGTCTGTGAACTGCACAGCTTGGCCACCACCTTTGGTCTTGAAAACATCCCCCTGAAACCAAGAAGAGTCATCACCAGGTCAGTAGGACAGGTAGAATGATGGGATCCATCTAAGAACTTCAGTGCAAGGAAATATGGGCACAAATATCCTCATCTCATTGTTAATCTTCTCCTCTCACACACAGGACACCAAGGAGTGAGTAGCTATGTTGGTGACCATGCAGGACACCCCCAGAGCAATCACTGCCATGACAAAGATGCTGGATGATAGTGGCAACCAAAAAACACCACAGAAATCATCATCAGGTTTGGTCCCAATGGTTTCATCTCACAGCATGGACAGGAATGGTGTCACCTTTGCTTCTGGAAACAGCCAAAGGACCTCCAAGTGACCTTTCAGGGCTTTGAAAACTCAAAGGCAATATTTGAAGGCCTGTGAGGATGAGATATGAACCAAAAGCTTCTTGTTGCAGATAAAGAGCTCTGGATTTGCCTCATGTGAGGGTGTTTTGGGACAGGAGCAGTGGTCAAAGTCAAGGCTGCACCCAGAAAGGATGTCCTAGAGCATTCCAGCATCCAACACTGCACAAGGTCACTCACAGCAGGGCTGGGAATCAAAACCCACCACTCCACCATGACTGACTCTGCAAGTTTCCATGCAAAGGGAATGTTGTGTTTGCCTAGAGGAAAAGACACACAAACAGCTTTGATTCAGAGAATCACAGAATTTTGAAGCTTGGAAAAGACCTTTAAGACCATCAAGTCCAACCTGTGACCCATCACTACCTCGTCAGCTAGACCAGAGCATTGAGTGTCATGCCTAGTCGTTCCTTGAACACCTCCAGGGATGGTGACTCCACCACCTCCCTGGACAGCCTGTTCTAATGTTTAACAACCCTTTCCATGAAGAAATTCCTCCTGAAGTTCTGAGGGAAACTGGTGAGACAAACAACCCTGTGATGGTTTAAAGAAGTAACAACAAAGCTCAAGACAAGGATTTCAGACTCTAAAACCTCCCTTAAATCAAAAGTTCTAAATCAAATCTTGGTGGATTGAGTTAACTCTCCCTTTCCCAAGCCTGGAGCACAAATAACTGTCAGAAGGAGGGTGTGGACAGGATTACACCAAGTTTCCAAGGGAGGAATTTGCTTTAACTCAATGACTTGGGTTACCCTTGATGAGTTGGGCTACCTCAATGACTTGGGCTACCCTTGATGAGTTGGGCTACCCTGACGAGTTTGGGTTACTGCGATGACTTTGGCTACCCTTGACGAGTTTCGACACCTCAATGACATGGGCTGCCTTGATGAGTTGGGTTACCCCGATTAGTTGGGCCACCTCAGTAAGTTTGCTTAGCCATCAAGCTTTGGCTACCTCCATGAGTATATGCTTACCTTGATAAGTTTGGTCTCGATCTCCCCATCAGATGCCAACTCTTGGTGTGTCAGCATGTACTTGTCACACTTGGCCAGGGCCTTCTCACTGGGTGCTGCCACCGTGATGGCATGGGGCACATGTGGCTGCATGACGGTCTCGGTGGGCAGGTTGGATGGAGGTTTGTGGTCCACCCACCTCTCCTCAGCTGAGCGCGAGCGACGGTGCCGCAGCCGGACAAGAGGTACCTGCTGGTGGAGACAACCACAGGCAATCAGCACCCGGGGAATCATGGAGGGAAGAGGGAGCAGGAGGGACTGGGAGAAGGTTGTGGGAAATGTGGAAATTTGGAAAGACTCCAAGAGAGTTCAAGTGTCACATGAGGAAGATGTTTGTCCAAGCTCTATTTCCATGTGGGTATTATTCACAGGTAGTGCTCACACAACATCTTTGAACTGCCCAAAGAGACAGTGGCAAACTGGAGACTGCAAGATGGGTTTGAGGAGAGACACAAGGTACAACATGAGGACAGAGCTAGAGGGAGAGCCTGGGTAGGTCAGAGTTGCTCACAAGTGATAATACACACTCTAGTTGCAAGGAGTTTCTAACCATGAAGAGGTCAGAGTGAGTAGTCAGAGATACATTTAAAGACTAAGCTCTACTCTCCATCAGCTGTGCTCAAGGGAAGAGAAGTTTTGAGCCAGACTACACCACACTACATTGAGCTTTCAACAGGAGCAGCACTAACCCTGCAGCATTGATCCTCTTCTATCTCTAGCTCCTTTCTGTGCTTGGGACCCTCAGGGACTCCAGTCCAGCACATCCCTCTCCTTCTGTGGGTGATGTTAGAGTCTCTACTTGGTTCTGGTGGTTGTTGTCTACTCCTTACATTAGGAGTGCCATTGGTTTGCTTGTATGAAGGAGTTTTCTGCTCCCACTCCAGGACACAGGAGGCCACAGAAATGCTGTTACAAGAGTTAGAACGCCTGGGCCCCTGGGGGGTGGTGGCAAAGGTAGTACAGGGCTGGAGAGAAGGGCAAAGAAGTTAGTGAACACACAGAACAGGCAACTTATCAAGCAATAAAACAATGAATATTGACAATTCAAGCTAAGCAGGTGGAGGTTTGTGTGCAGTGACAGCAGAGAAGGAGGTGTTTTCCCAAGCCTAGAAGGCAGAAGAGGAACAAACACAACAGGAGACAAAGAATTCCAAGTGAGTGTAAGCTGCTCAGATTCTGTGTTTGGGAGCTACTAATTAACCACTAAAATGCACTTCAGAAAGGCTTAGAATAGGCTTTTCCCTGCATCAAGCGTTTGAAGGCAACTCACAGGCACTGGGGCAGGAGACACAGATCTCTGGACAGGCTTCTCTCTGTCTCTCTCCCGTGAGGGCCTCTCTGGCTTCTCAGGCTTTGGCTCAGTGACAATGGCCTTGAGCTGCTTCAGCTTCTCGTCCTTCACCCAAAGCTTGTTCTGCA